ACACACACACACACACACACACACATATATATATATATATAAGAAATATAGAACTAAGAAAATAAATAAATGCTGCTGTTAGTAAAAATAATAAAACTTCGTACCGTAATTACATTATAGATGGCCGTTTGATAACATCACAAAACTGAACTTTTCAACTTGTTCATTTTATTATACGATCCAGAAACTGTAACTCTGGATTTGAACGAACTAAAGTCCCAAGAGGACTTTCTGCAGTCCTCAAATCGCCCCTGCGGTGAGCAGAACAGCGGATCACAGAGCATTTTTCCTCCTGTGTCTACACCACTTCCCTCCACTCCACAGTCTGGTCTATATACGATATATGTCTTCTTGTTTTGACTGTGCATAGAGATCTGATGATCTGTGAGATCAGTCTGATGATATGCCTGTTTTCATTCATTTCCAAAAAGTGAACTAAATTTTGGAAGGATAATTCTATTTATATATATATATATATATATATTATGCTTGCAGATATTTTGTAATATTCACTGTTAGACTTTGCTGTAATTTTACAGTTACTTACCGCAAAAAAGCCCAGTAAACTACCATATATATGTTTTACGGTTAACTACTGTAATATGCACTGAATTATGGGTATTTTAATGCCATTTACAGTAATTTACTGTATATGGGAATTTGCAGTACTTTACTGTTTGCTCAAAAGCAGTAGTGCTACTGTAAATTGTTCTGCAGATGAAAAACATGAATCTGCATTCTCAATATAATGTCTGGGTAAGCACAAGTGTGGTGAAATAAATGCATTTTTAAAATTATACAAAAATTAAATATATAAACTTTTTGCTTACACCCCACAAAATTAAAAATGTAAAAAACCCACGCTTTTTAACCCGCACAACAACCTGGCAGAGGTTATATAAACTGAGGCTTGTGTCCGGTGCGCGCATAACGGACTTCCCCTCTGAGTGAATGGCCAGACGTCAGCTGCGAGTTTTCCTGTGGTAAGTACTTTTCACTTACTTTTAAAACGTAAACCATTATCAATATCAATGAAATTAAAAAATATGAAGAAAGTAAATGTAAAATCTAATTATAGGCTATTGCTAGGACAGTCTGAGGGAAAAGTTTGCATTTTCCTCAAATACTGCCGCTTTCATGAAACTCATTCAATTGTCGGTGCATTTTACTCCTCAGTTAAATGAATGCCGTTAAATGTGTGTGACGTCATTTGAAATAGCACGAGCGCTCGCTCTCTCTCTCTCAAAGTCAGTGCTCTCTTAAAGGTGCTGTATGTAAGTCTTTGACTTTACTAAAGCAGAAAAATACCATAATATGTTTGCAGATATTTAAGAAACATGCGAAGTTAATATACTTGTTTATCTGAAAAACAATGCTACAGTCAGTTATTCTTTTTTGAATATCCTTTGAATAGGT